TCTTCTGCGTGGGAGACTCCAATCTCGTGAGCGATTGCACTTCCCATCTTTACCAAAAGCAGGCGCAGAACACAGGCCTCCTGCGAAGAGGCTCGAGAGAGAGGGGTGGGTGTACCATGAGAGAGACGGAGAGAGCATAAACCTTTGGTTTGTTCTCCAGCATGATTACGGCCATTGAGTGGTACCTTCTCGACGTGTAGCTCAAAAATCCCAGCAATTTGCAACCCAACACTTGGAACGCCCGCCTTAAATTACTCCATGATCGAGGACGCTCGTAAATGAGCCCCTCTTCACCAATTACGAGAGTGTCCATGGCCAGAGAATGTTAGAACGACCTACGTCACTTCTCCACCTTTGCAAGACCCTGGAATCCAATCTGCCCTGCTGTAACGAGCAACAATGTGGTCCAAGATTACCACTAACCTCAAGACACCGCAATTTATATCTTTCTACTTTTTCAAGACCCTGTCATCCCAATAACTCCACCAGCTTGGCGTGCAGTATGAAAAAAAAAACTCTAGCTCCTAGAGACTGCTGACACCTTCTACCACGAGGTCTGAGATGGAAGGGAACGACTCGCATCCTACAGAAGGCTCTACTCCCTCATCAGAGCTCGGTCTAGTCCTAGAGTTGCCTCCTTGAAGAGTATAATGTACTCCAAACAAGATAACATCGAGCTCGGATATGGCCGAATCTAGGATAATCTAGCTTCCATCAACAGGCTCAATCAGAAATGTCTAGAGCAGAGGCTCCTAGGATCTGAATTCAGCACTGTCCTCGTCATATGCAGGACATAGAACGGAGGCGGGTAAAAATAAGAATTTCCAGGTCTATCCGAGGTCTGAATTTCCAGTTGGCCAGGACATCTTCCTGCAAAAGCTGGACGACCATGTTCAGCTCAAATCTATCTATTGGGAATGCTGCGATACGTCCAGCACTTTATCCTCGGCTGTGCGTCAATTTCCTCTCTCTAGCTGCATCAGCGTGTCCTCGTTTCTCCCGATTTGAAACGCCCGGCCGATCCCGCAGCCATGGCAACGCCACTGCAGCTACCATCGCTATGCTGCTCTAGAAAGACAAGAGGCAGTTGAGGTTGGGGGGGGGGGGGGGGGGAAGGTTTAGGAATGCGCACGTTGCGCGAGTTGGCTCTTGCAACCGGCAGTTGGCAGTCCACGGCGGAAATGTGAACTCGACTGCGTTTGCATCCGACTACTGCGCTCGTGCTATGTACTGTACTGTGCTGCACTGTACTGCGTTGGCGCTCACCCGGTTCGTCTCCTTAGACCACGTTAAATCTTACCGAGTACTTCTTTCAGAACGTGTTGGAAGAGATGGTCGAGAGTTCTGGACGTCTGCGAGTGAGCCCTCCACACAATATTAGGGTTTCGGAGATCCAGACGTCGATCACCGCGTTCACAGAGTACAAAGTCTGCTTCGATGCCCAGATGTGTCACCAGCCTTTGCATTCTTGCTCTCCACATTAGTGTACTCGTAGGTTCTCTTTCCGACCTCTGTTTCGAACTTATAGATGCGTACATAGAGCACTTGCTGGCTTCGTATGTTTCATCGTGATCGAGAGCTTCCGCTTCTCCTGCTTCTCCTGCTTCCCAGTGCGTTTTCGACAACTTTACGTCTGAGTGAATTCTGTCGTGGCTTTGAGGGTTATTCGTAGCTGTATATAAGCAGAATACAATTTCTTTGTGGAGGCTGTGGTCTGACGAATTTAGGAATTCGTTTTCACTCGATAGGATACGTGCTGTGGTCGGAAAGTGTCGAGAGCTGTATCGATGTATGTAGATAGGTATATGAGCACCGCTTCTGCCAAGAGGCGTTACCGTCTTGCAACTTTTCTAGTGAGACGGGTGTCGGCAGAAGCGAATAGCGATCTCGAAAGAAGCCAGCTTTTAAACCAACGCTGAGCCCTGTCTGTGGGCCAGTGTTGACCTGTCTACTGGTATATCTCAAAATTATAATTCGCAGATTTTATCCTTCGCTTATTGTGAGCTCTTGCAGCACACACCGTTCTTGCCCTTTTCGCCTCTTAGGTCATCACAGGAGCTCGAGTGGAGAAACGGTATAATCTACTCCGTGTCTCCTCATAAGCTCCTGAGATCAAGCATTGCCTCTAATTCTCCGTGCGGGATCGTTCGCAGTACTTTCCTTGTCTCGACAGAAGGCTTACAATTTAACCCCTTCGAAGCATTTTAGGTGTTGGAAGTCCGGCCCGATGGTGAAGCCCTCTGCTGGACGAAGACCGAAAACCCTACCGTATCAAGGCTCGCGATGTGTAACCTCTCGTATAAGGCTGGATTGACTACCAGGAGCCTTCACAGAAGTTGAGGTGTGATCCCGAATAGAAACGAAGACGTCGCTTCGTCTATCAGCTTTGTGGGGTGCAGCTAGCTCGCAAACAATAGTCTAAAGTTTCTAACACTTTGAAAGTAAATGTAACACACCACCTAGATTGAAGTTACGTGGATTCCATGAGGTAACCCCCATTAAAAACATCTACTTCTGTGTTACAGCACATTGTGTTACGATGTGCTGCACTGTGCACAGAAAACTTGAAGAGAAACATTTCATTCGAGGGTAACTCAACCTCGGTAATAAGCGGAAAGATTGAAAAATTACAACATCTACCTCAAAAGCGAGTTTAAATAATCAATTCCTTAAGAAGAATATGCTTGTGATAGTGCGCTACACAAATACTTCTCCGTACCGAGCTGTGAAGCGAATGAGCACACAGCGGGGAAGTTTGTGGGACGGAAGAATGCTCACAACAGGAAGAATGTGAGCTCTTCAAGCTAAATCTGCTCAAGGTCAAATTGCGACGGAAGAACGTGCTCAATCACTAACTTCTCGGTTGACGAAAAATCTGATGCGCCTCCTGTGATTAGACTATGTGTTCTCATTTACAGAGAGCACACAGAGCCGTCACGTCCTGACGACTTGCCTGAGCGAAAGATAGATATGGTGAATTATAGACCGTGGAAGAAGAAATTGATGCATTGGCCTTGCTGAAAGGAGTCGTCGTTCGAGTCCATCGTTTAATCAAGTCATACAGCTGACTAGGTTCAACCTCGTATCTTAAAAGGTGATCGAAAGGGAATGATGTTCAGTTAAACCATACATCTTATATCTCAGCAAACGATGAAGATGATATATAGTGTTAATAATAATGATGCTAAAATGGAAGATTACCAGCTTATTTCGTTTCCTCGTTAGGTCTTATCATCAGGGTTGCAGGTAATGTCTACAAAGAGCGGGGATCCGTATGAATGTAGAAGACACCACCAAGCCTAATAAGGTACAAAATCAGCGTCAAAACATGCCCAAATCTCCGATATCTAATCAATGCCCATTACATTGCATTTTTAACATCTAAAGTAGACATGATGACGGAAGTGAAAGAAACAAAAATCATGATAATTTATTAATGATTTCATGTCATTACTCGTTAAGCAGGAAGCAAACAAACCCGGCTAGTCTAGTCATGAACAAGACTTATGTAAGCATGGAAACGTGGACATGGCTATCTAAACTCAAGAATTTCTAATGGAATTGGCTTTGACTTTTACAACCATCTCTAGTTGATTGATAAACTTTATATGACCGACAAAGAGATAGATATTGTTTGTGTGATATTAACGTTACAGATACTGATGTGCATGCCTTCCTCACATGCGGCATCACGTATTTCTTTGCTATTTATCCATGTTAATTCTGAAAACACTAAAATCTTTAAAAAAAACCATAAACTTTTCTCTAGATCTTCAGATTTTGTCAAGTAGTTCTCTTAGAACAAATCTATCAAGAGATTAGAATAAAAACACTATTTTTATTCATGTGAATATGAGTATGAAAACTCATTGATACCCTAAATAAAAAAAGGACACCAATATCTCTGGTACTATGTTTTGTAGTATTTAAAATAGATGAAAATAAAACCAAAATTGAAAACATGGAAATATACTAATGACTCTCAACTTAAAGCAAACTACACCGATGTGTGCATCACTGACCCTTGCCTTCTTTTATACTTTTTTCTCCCCATGCCACTCCCGCTACCGCCCTCCATTTGACCATCCAAGATCTTGATGACAACAAGTAAGTCTCACTCGGTTGTTTAGTAGTTCTCATAGTAATTTACTCATTACTCACGACTCTCATCACCCATTCTCGTATCCGCTTGATGTCGCTAGGAGTCGGCATCAGCACCGGAACCTCAGAATGAGATTTTGAGAAATATATCTCCAGTATGATACCCACTGACGAAATCTGGAGTACCTTAATGAAAAGAATTTTTATCACTGCAATTGGCCACAAGAAGACTTTCACATCACACACATGTGAAAGTCTGAGATATATCAGATATGCATCAAGTCGACAGGATGTTAGTTTCCTGTTTTTAGATAAACCTAAACTCCAAAAGAGTACTGTTGAGCAAACCGACTTTCCACCAGCACCTCTGAACTTCCGAGTACTTTCCAATCCCTCTGTATGTCACTCGAACTCAAAATTAATAACTTCGTTCTGTGGAGGAGGGTTTCGGGACAAACGTGAAAGCACTGGGACCCTTCAATGGTGAAGGCATTCTCTTTTGTTCTGAAATTTTACCGATAGCTTTCTTTAACGGGAGGAATGACGTGTGCCTTATTGGGACAGATTTGGAATGCTTTTCGACCTTCGTTGTATGGATTCATTGCATGGGCCAAATCGAAAAATCGCTTCGGGGAACATTCAAGCTTTGCCCACGCTGTATCTACAAGGGCCTTAACTTAAGTCTAGGCCCACTCCTTATAACAGCGTACTTCGAACTAGTCATCGGAAATGTGGAGGTTAGTAACGATGGCATTCCCAATGACTAACAAGTTCCATCAACCAGAGCAACTTGGTGCATTCCGAAACAAGTATTAGCCATTCCCTTCAAGGACGCTCGTGTACAACAAGGAAAACAGAGACACCAAAAAAAGTTGAAGACCAGAGAACGTTTTGTGCTATCTGGGATGGCTTGCAAAATTATGCCCATCTTGAGAGGTCTTCAGTTATATAACAATTTCCATAATAACATGAAAAGTGGAAAGAATAGTAATTTTAAAACAATAATGCATCGACTGACAACAAATGCAGAGAACGAGTATTCAAAAAGGGTTGGGATCTAGTGAGTTCTGCCACTAAATATTCATCTGCAGACCTGATTTAACTACAAAAGAGGTGGTTGGTTCTGGAATCCAGGTGTAACTGTTGATGTTGAAATAAGTGGAGGGTCGGAGGAACCAAGGCCCTCGATGAGAAGTGGCTCAGGTGGAGGGGGAGCAGGAGCAGGAACGGGAGCAACGTAGAGTGGCACGGCTGTGACAGGTGGTCCACCTTTAGGATTAGAGGACACCATTGGAAACGGAAAGCTTCTAGCAGCTCCACCCGCTCCCTTGGACGTTGACATGGGCAAGGGAAAATTCTGGGCTGCACCCTTCGCCAGTGGTATTGGGAATGCTCTAGCCTGGGGGCCCCCGGGTGGAGGAAATGGAAATGCTCCTGGTGGTTGTAGTCTCGAATCCGCTGTCTGAGGTGTTGGCTGAACAGGAGGAGCAACTGCAGCGGCTGTAGGGGCCGGAGCTGGTTTTGGTGGCTCCATGATGGACAATAACTGGGAAACATCAGGTTCGGGTTGAGGTACAGGTGTTGATACGGGAATTAGAGGAGGAAAATCCATTATACCGCCAGAAGGGTTGGAAGCAGGAAACACTTGTGCACTCGAAGCTGGGAAGAGTTGTGGAGTCGACGCAGGAAACAGTTGTGCATTCGGTTGTACAGTCGGAGCGGGAAAGAGCCCCATATCGGCAGTCGTTGGTACACTAGCTGGCTTTGAACTTGGAACGAGCTGCTCCAGGTCTGCGGCAGACCATGTGATTTCTTGAACTGGAGCCTGAGGTCCGACGCCATTTGCAGCAGCACCTGTCCCTGGAGGAGCCGGAAGTGCCAACATCGGCCCAGTTGTTTGCACTCCTGTCGGTTTAGCCGTTTTCGTCAGAGCTAGAATAGTTGGGCTAGGAGCATTAACAGGTGGAACGATTTCAATTAAAGGTGCCCGGGGCTGTGTCAAGCTCTGTAGGATTCCATCCTTCTGTGGAGTCAGTCCCGTGCCGCCGCTTTGGGCAAGACCAGGAAGTCCACTTTCAAGAGCTGCAAGTACAGGATCAACAGTAGGTCCAAGCTCTGGAACAGCTTTTGAGGAAGTGTTTGTGAATTCCTTCTGCAAAACCTTATTCCATTGCTGTAACAAGCTCTTCAAAGTATTTCTTCCGTGTGCCTACACAGCCCAACATAACGTGCCACAAGTTAGAGATATATGAATTGGACAAACTTTTCATCTGCCTTCAAAATGCCTAACATATATACTGATTGATACTTCCACTGCCGCTGTAAAAAAATTTTGAGAGTGGGCAAAAGTACAAACATGGGCATGGAGAGCAGCTTCAGGGAACATTCCCGTATCGTGCCAGGACTTCTCCAAAATATTGGGATCTCCTAGAAAGGCGCCTGCCAGAGCTGCCTCACGACCTAGACCAGCACCAATCATCCTGTTTGCCTGGACCTGCACTCAAAGGAAAGTTATCGTTCAGATACGTCATATATTCCCCACAACTTGCTCATGGCACGAGATATAAACGCTAACGGCATGGGTGACATCAAAGTGACGATTTGATGGTGAATACTAAAGATGTAACATATAATTGACACACATTATTAGTGGCACACGTTTACTGAAACTCTCAACCAGAGGTGAAAACCAAAAGGTTTAGCAAAATTATATCTCCGCCTATTGGAGGACGATTAAGCAGAGTATAGGTTTTTCTAAAAGAATGTAAAGGATCGTGCGATCCAACAAACTTACAGCTAAACGTGTCAACTCTCCATGAGAGGCAAGCCGGAAGGAGAGTGCTCGTAACTCGTCTGAACTAAGTCCACCCTCAACGGCCCCGGCTGCTGCCAACCGTACTAAGGCCTGCTTAGCAATATCACCCTGCCCAGTCGCATCTGCGGCATCTATTAGTTCCAAAAACTCTCGTGCAAACTTCACTATTCCAAATACCGATTCGGCCTTCACCTCAGCCTGCGGCACTGTTACCGACATCAGCCCGGTGGTATCTTTACTACCAAGATCAACATCTTGACTGAAGCCTTTGCTATTACTCAGAGTAACAAGGGCCTGGAGGGCCCTTTTCAGGTCTCCGCTCTGGATGGCCAGGTCAAACTCCAACCTGAGAAACAGCAAGTCGGGAGTTGATATAAAACTTTTAAGCCAATCTCGTTCTCATGACGCTAAGACACAAGAAATTAGACCACCAACACTCCAGCAGGATAAATGCCTAAAGCAGTTAGGGTGATTTTATTTCAAAACTTCGCCCCTCTAGTGATTAGGAGAAGAAACAGACGGATTGGGGACAAGAGTCATTTACAACATACATTCGAGGCCAACTAAATTTCGTGATTTTGTACTGCCAACTATCTCGGAGGCAAGGAGTTAAATACGCAAACATTATTTCAACAGATGTGATTCAAAAGCAGCCCGCACCTCTTGGAAATTCCAGGGAGATGCAAGGCTTCAGACGCATAACCCATGCCCAACATAAATTGGGCCAAATCGTCGTGGTGCTCTCGTCCTAATCTTGATGCCCTGCATACGACCACACAAAACTTATATGCCATCAACAATATCACATCTAAACAGCAAACTTCTAATTCGTGGATGTGCACATTGGTGCACTTCTTCTCTTGAAGATTTGAGTGTTCTACAATGACTGCAATTACATACATCTGAACTGAGGTGGAAATATGTCAAAAAATCATCCTCTCCAGTTGAGATGGACAACACATACCATTTCACTGCACTCACAGCGTCTCCGTAAGCTGCTAGACATCGACATCTTATACCAGGATGGCTTAAACCAATGGCATGAGCCGTCATAAACCTGTCATAACCATGTAACAGACAGGTGACAATTATAAGTTTGGATCAGCACGTGACAACCTCTAACATAGAAAACGATTACTAAAAGCGCCTTATCATTGCACCGTCTGCAGTCTCTGCAGTAATTAGTAGTAAGGAGGCATAATAAAGGATGAGTGTATCTTCACCTACACCGTATACAGGAGCTGTTGGATGGCAACAAAATGTGGAAGTGATTTCACACAATACGGTTGAAAACGAGGATAATATCAAACGTCTTATAAGGGTGTGGACGCCCGTCAGAAATGGAACCCGAGCTAGGTAGAACCTGATGCGTATATGCGACTGTATGAGTAATGGATAATCTATCTTTCCTCGCAAACATGTAGCAAGAGGGATATTGTTACTTACATGTCTACCAACCACAAGACTCCATCTCGAACTCCCACAACAGTCAGGGGTCCAACTGGTCGCTTTTGCTCCTGCGGAAGTCTTGATACAGCCACTGAAACACCCCCTCCTCCAATTGCCACTTCTGTTCCTTTCCTTTCCTCCACGTCTCTAAGTGGTGCCGGGACCTCTCCTTCTACCTTCAGTTGCTTTAGGATAGATGGCCCAATTTGAAACGATGCTAGCCTCACGACCTATTCCAGGAAGAATATCAGGTGCGTGAGTTTAGACCTCGGGACAACCAGAACGATTGTCTCAAATACCAGTCCTAGATTCATTTGCTTCACTCAAAAAGTTATCTAACAGATTTCAATCCGTTTCAGTCTTAGCACAAGGTGCCGCAAATACTTCCAAGGTCTTGAAATCTACGAGAGGCCCCAGTGTGCAATCAACATGCGAGTGCTGGATAACCTTAGACTGAACGAATACAGCAACCAAAGGAAGGATGATAGAAAGGAGTAAGTTGAGCCAATCTGAGTTTTACCTGAAGCATAGGGGGCCTTAGTGCCACCTTTTCCGCGTTTGAAGCACGGGGAGCATCAACGGTCAAGAGAGCTAGCTCTCCTTGCTCAGCGACAGCTCTTGACTGGGCAAATCTAGCCTTCTGTTCTTCCTTTCTCCTCTTTCTCTCCAAGTCTACAGCACTTATACCAGCATCTACAAATACACACCTAAATTTGGCCACATATATCCAATTCAGTATGATGTATAGGAACTCTAGACAATCGTCTTCTGAGTCTCCGAGAACGTGGAAGTACGACAAATCGGGACGAAACTAGAAGCTATGTCTATCCACTCGGTCGTCTCACTAATTTCAATCAACGACATTTAATGAGGATCCTGATGCAGTATACAACAGAAATCTCTACTCACGCAGACCTCTCTTTCTTGTCCACACGAGTAAAACTCAAACGAAATAAAGCATAAAGCATATATGCGGATCCAGTTTCGGTCAAAATGTACACAAACTAAATTGCTGCTTACTCAATTGTTGTTGGGGTGGCAATGAAGAGCTGTCTACGGTGCCACACACCCCCTGTGGCAGAGTTTATAGCCACACTCCCGAGATAGCGGTACTGAGGTCGAAGGGATGATAAGATAACGTAACGGTTATAGGCCAAAGCACAATATTCAACAGTTGCATCCCATGCCGTCCACTCTGGCTGTGGCAACATAGGACTGACTGGTCTATAGGTCTCCCAACTGCAAACAAAGATGAAAGAGAGGATTAGACTCAAGTAATATTAATTTCATATATCAAGAGACTTTTTGAGCCAGGAAATGCTTTCAGTGCAAATATAGGACAATGTAGAAAAAAATTTGGTCCCCTAATAAACGGATGGAACTCAATGTAGAGAGCTCATGCATTGACCTATACTTTAACTAACAATTTCAACAGAAGTTATCACCCTGCAAGTGTGATTATTACCGGAATACATCGGCAAAATAATAAATGAGCTTGGTCCGTTATCTAGCATCTGAACCATCTACAAACAAACATATTTCCTGAAGTCAAATTCAACGAGTGTACACTGCCTACCTGTATAACTGGAAGTTGGGAGGAGCTTCTCCAATTTTGACACTAGTGGCATCCTCGGCCTGAAAAGTGGATCCCGCTGTAGTTCCCATATAATTACCTCCTGCGCCGGGTCCTACGTTTGTCTGGATCATCCGGCGGGGCATCTTATATGCTACTCCCAGTAGAGCTCCTCCTTCTAGGCCTGAAACCTGTCACCAGAGTCGTCTGAGTTAGCCTCTATTGACTCTTGGAAATCATAGACCTCTAGTCATTTACAGATTAGACGTGAAGCAGACTAACAAATACATCACAAACAACTAGCTAGCAGATTAAACTCTGCAGAATCATCTTAACACAAAAACCTTCTACGGCAGTGTATCTTGCCCCAACCTAATGCCCAACGATACAGCACAGAAAGGAGACAATCTCGATTGGGGAATAGTAAACATACGGGCTCGCTTCTCCCTTCAATCGCTTTGGTGAGTAGGTGTGGAGCGCCGTCATCAAGCAAGATGCGAACTTCCACCTTTGCAGCGGCGGCGGCTGCAGCTGCTGTGGCCGCTACAGCCGCAGCATGGGCTGCGGCTGCTTCTTTTGCTTTTCTAGAAGAGCTGTGCTTTGAAACAGGAGGCGGTTTAGGCGCCATGACAGTTTGCAAGAGAGCATATCGATCCTTGCATGAATCCCAAGCAAAGTGCTTGGCGACCCCTTGATCCAGGAGCGTCCAATCACTAGCTCGATAAATTTCGTACATCGGTGAGTCAGACCACACCACTGACACATATCTGCAGTACAGTGTTACGCCCACATTCAGTTGACGCGGAAAATCACAATCCTAACCAATTACACATCAGCACAACCAGCTCTTCTTAAGTCGACTCCGATCCATATACAACTTCAGGGTGTGCACCCAGACCAAAACACGCAAGAATTTCTGCAACTTGACAATAAGAGTATGACAAGGACACAGGACAATACTTCAAAGTAGCGCCTTAAAAAACACAACGCAAGACGTTTCAAAGTTGTGGTGTAGTATATAAAAACATAAGTAGGAAACAGCGGTAATCTTCCATGCTATCTTGACAGATTTCAGCATCAAACGGAAATAGAACATTTTCATTTTTACACAAGTCACTCAGAGAAAATATAGGACAGTACCTACTTTCCAGAGTGGCTTATATTAAGCGAGGCTGCTGAGTCATTTGACACGGGTCCAACGCGAGTTCTTGTTTGCTTCACGATCAACTGCGGTGCTTCTGTAGGAGACTCAGCTCGAAACCTCGCTCCCATGTCTCCGGCATTTATGACAGTGGGGTTGATGTGAGAGGAAAGCTGAAACGTCAACAGTCTCAGCTCCCGCTCGATTTTACACACGACACGGTGTTCTTTACTCCCGGGAAGGCTAGGGAGAGGGACGACAGCCGGTACAGCTTTGGCATCAAACTCGCACAGAATGACTCCCAGATTTGTCCCTGTTGCCACAAGGTGCGGTTGCAGAGGATGTACAGCCAAACAGTACGCCTGGACATTCATATGTTCACAAGTTAGAAACCACTAATGATTACATATATACAAGAGAACTGGTGTCACTGGCTGAAGATGACTTAGCGTAAGGGAAGCCCATCGCGAGGAAAAAATTCTTCAAGGGAAGAAAAATCCATGAGACAACAGTCATTTAGCTCAACCATATATTCAAAAAAAAATTACACAAGCGGTAAGAAGATCAATAATATGGTCAAACCTTGAGCTTCTTCCCAGCTGGAAGCTGAGCGGGAGGAACCATGAAAGTGAGGTCAATAAGGGGTCGTGTTGTACCACCATAATGCGACTCTGTTGCCCTGTAGATCGCAGCAGTCGTCAACAACACTCATGAATCAGACGTAGCGAATATGTATACTTTATCTCCTCGGATTGAAAGAAATAGTTAGGCAGCTACTGCTATATACGAAGACCACTACAGCTTCATCAAATCCTCAGTATTTAAAAAAACACGTGATGAAGTAGAGATTTGAACCAACCAAATATGAGCATCCTTCACACACGTCAGCACATTAAGACTGGGTACTCGGGGATGTGCCCAAGTAGCAACGCTACTGCACGGAATCTTTGGAACCGGTTTCATCCGCCTCAACTCCTGATGCATTTCAGAAAACAGATGTCAATGGTACAAAAGTGCGAGAACATCAGATCTGGATTGTTGCAACCTCCTCTCTACATATAGTTAGAATATTTCCTTTCTGCGCAATAGACATGCATTGTGGTTAAAAGTCTTCACCTCGAAATCAAAGACCACCTCTCATCAAGTCCTTACGAGGCAACTACTAACTGACCTTGAAACTGACGGTTTCCCAAATGGCGAGCGTTTTGTCTGCACCAATAGTTACGAGCTGTGGAGGTCCTTCTTTAGGTCTCATTAGTTCGATGCCGGTGACACCGCCATCATGCCCCTGCGCCAGAGCAGACCAGTAGTGGTGTTCAGAAGAGTTTCTCATCCCAAACATCCCAAAAAATTGTGCCAGTCATATTGACTTTCTCTGCCTTCCTGACAAAGCTTGGTACCCGACATGCCGAAAACACGATATTCTGAGTCGGGTCTAATACGAAGAATGAATTTAGTACAAAGAGACTAATGCATAAACAGCATGGATAGGCTTGGAGATACTGTAATCCTTGATTAGCAGAGGGTGCTTAGCAATACAAAGACGAAAACCTCAACAGTCTCAAAGCAGGAAAATTTCGACAAAAGACAAATTTTTGAATCCTCCAACAGACCTTGACGGTCACTTTCGGGGTAGCTTCTCGACCAATGTCCGCATTCCAGAAGTTAAGGAGCCCATCATTACCACCTGAGACCAGTATAGTCTGAACAATAAAAAATCACTAACTATTTTGTCAGGCGAGAGAGATCGGAATTGAGATTTGTACGAAGAACTGAAAGTTGATGAAAAGATCTATTACAAGTCTGAAATATTTTTCTCTTTTCGGATAATAAAAATTACAGAAGATCCCGATATTACGGTTGTCTATCTGTTGTACCAAATAATTAAAGGGAAATAAATACCTCTCCATTAACGGCCAAGAAAGTCTTCAAGCACGCAACTGGCCCTTTGTGTGCGGGACCATATCGCTGCACCACCTGCGGAAAAGATGATGTGGATTACAGATTAATCCACCGATGTAGTAAAGAAGCCAGACACACTTACATTGAGCTAATTAGGCTGTGTCTTTCTTGTGACTGAGAGGAAATCGCGTCACCAACAAACGAAAATGAAATACTTGTATAGCACCCAGCATCACATACAGTCATCCATGATGGTTCAGACTTTCAATATGCCAACGTACCAGCCAATTACTGATAGAGAGGACTCTGATAACGCCATCCGGGCCACCGAATGCGGCTAAAGGGCCATCACTCATTCCACTTCGCGGAAGAAATTCGACACTGAGACATCACAACAGAATCAGACAAGGGGGTGAGCACCCGATAATCCGTAAAAGCGTTGAGGCAAAGCCTACAACGCAGAATGACTACTGTGGTCGGTCAGCAAGGAAAATGAAAGGACCAAAAAAAGCCTGACATATAAGCTGATGCTGTTGAAGTGAAATAGTCCACACCCATGATTGTGCAAGAAATTTTGAACTGTCCAAAGTGTGGACTTGGCGTCTACTCAACCACATTCCTTTGTTACAGAACAGAACCCAACTCCATGATAACTTACCAGAGTGGCGATTTATTATCAAATACTAGCTTGGGCACATCTTTGGCTCGCATGCTGACCATGTCAAGAAATATAGCCTTGTTGTCACAACAAATGACCAGAAAATGTCTTCCTCGGATTGATGAAAGTCCTGGACCAAGAGGCTGAAATCCTCCGGGGGGAGTGCCCTCCTGTGTGACAGATTGACTGATGGCAGCGCGTGCAACCCATCCTTGCCAGTAACGCACATCGTCATCATAAAACTTGACATGCTTTACACTGCGAAGTGAGCAACAGATAGAAAGTTAGGTTCACAAATAGAGGCTGCCACTTTTGCCCAGCACGAAATATCGTAACACCGATCTAAAACGTTGTCTAGCCAACAAAAAGCAAGCATAACACATGACTCTCAATTGTCAAAATGTGTGAAAAATAACACTGGCAACTCACCTTCCTCCTTTGATGTCTTTAATCGCCTGCGAAAGCTTGGAGATTTTTGGCTCTGCATAATGAATATCAATTACTTAATTTCCGATAACTGGTATGGGCACAGATTTCAACAAATCTACGATCACAAATAGTAGATGCGACGTATTAAATGTAGGGAAAGAACACAGAGCAGAACATAAGTTCAAATACAGATAAATAAGTTGTTCGGTAGATAAGTAATAAGTGAAGCCCACGACATTTACACCTCTTACTTTGAAATTGTCATACATGAAGCCTAACACGGAACAGGATAGTTGCAACTTTAGATATGGAAGAACAAGTGCAAACACTATATTTCGGAACAACTATAAAGTCCACAACTGAGCGTCATTTGTACGCCAAGTGCATATTCACGTGGTATGTGTTTCCAGAATCCTGCGCAACTGAACAGCTAACAAGTTCACTTCTACGCTCAACTACGAGGGCCAGCAACGCTCAAAACCAAAGCTAGGACTCTTCCTGGCAGCAGCATTAAATTAATTTGTAGTCGCCATGGAACCAAACACGTGAAGAGATGAAATTTGTTTACTTGTGCAAGTTGTGCACTTGATTTCAAAGTTATAGCTTGTAAGCGCGAGGCTCTTTTTCAGAACAAACCATTACATTTTTCGGCCTAAGCTGAAAGCGAAAGAGCTGACGTACCAGGCTCTCCTTGGAGTTGTGCGCCAGCTAGGCGTCTCTCATCTACTCCAATCGCATTGACCTCGTAGATTACCTGCAATGCCGAGAAAAAATCTCACACCTTTCCTTCCCAACAATAAAAATACGCGGAAGCGGAGGAACAACCGAGACCCCTTCAAAAAGCTCCACTCGCAAATCTCACCTGCCGATGCTCCCAATCCCAAACCACGACATTCCCGGATTCATCTGCTGTGACAAGCCACGGATAGGTAGGGTGCAGCTGCAACCGGACAATCTTCTCATGACTCGGTCGAAATGCTGCCAATCTCAACATTCTCAAACACGAATCTCACACATCGAAAAATGAAATCCGCGCTTCCAACCCGAGAGTGTGAGCCCGAAAAACAACAGATCCAGTCTCGGACCGCTGCCGCTGCGCCTCCCTCGCCTGATAGACGAACAGATCGACAGATCTCTCCACGACCAACCCCAGATTTCCGACCGCCTTGCGAGACACCCCAGCAGCGATCAAAGACCTCCTCTGGGACCGATGAACACCCGGACCGAACCTAGAGGCGACCGGATCAGACACTAATTCCCTACCGCTGCTCTCGAATTGCAGAGTGGGACAAGAAGGCGCGACAAGATCACATTTACGATGTCCCTCCCCTCGGCTACACGCTCGTGTCGAGCCCGTCGCGCGCACTCGGTAGTGCACAAGCAGCAGCAGCAGCAGAAGGAGAAGGAGGGAGGAGCAGGACGAGGAAGAAGACGTGAGAGAGAGATGCAGCGGAAACGCTCGCTTCAGCCTTCAGCGTTCTCCTTTCCTTCTTTCTCTCTCTCTCTTCCTATCTTTCCTCCTTTCTTTCCTTCTTTCTTTCATTTTCTGCTTCCGCCTCCGTCCGTGTGTCACTTTCCGTCTGGTGTGACCTGGCCTCCTTCGACTACTCCGTTCGCTATGATCGCCCCGCTCCGCTCCGATGCTACTCCGGTCACGTACACCTCTCCCATGTACTGTACAGACCCTTCGTACGGTAGCCCTCTGCGTGACCTGGCGTCCATCGACGTATATCACCCCTTTCACACACATTTGCTTCTCTCTTACTTCACACCCAGGTCCACCACTCCTTCGTTCGACTCGTTCTTTTGGAATTTATTACAATATAATAGCCGGTATTAATGGTATCAAAGTATCTGCATTCCTAATTTGCATCTGAGGCTAGAAGTGTCGTTCGGGATAGACTTTGACTACATACGGTAATCAGCCCATTACAATTATAGTCTAGACTGCCCATGTCTTGGATTGTGACTTACCAATCATTTGCATGACAAATGCTGGGCAGGAATAACTATGTTACATAGCATAATCAATACATGAAAATGGTATATAAAATGTACATAGTTCTGTATTCAGTAAGTGATCTGCATATACTGCAAGTACTGATTATTGCTCGGTTTGGTGCATCACACTTTATTACATCTCATGTATTGATCACGCCGTAACACCAATTTAGCTCCAGAAATTAGATTCTGAACTCCTTATAAGATATGGAACACCTCCCTGAAATCGTGATTCATCCTGTCAAGACTCTATTGATTTCACGAGGTTTTGCAAGTAAACAACATTTCAGAATTAAATGGAACTTTTTACTCACATCAACATCTTCTTGTCACTAATCAAAGATATTAGAAATAACATGTTTATCTTCTCCACGTGATTTTCTTAGTTTATGAGGGTAGTGACCAATATTACTTACAATAAGTGGATGGAATATTGAAAGTTTTCAGATTTTACGCTTGAATCATTTCTACTTCAAGTGTTTATTCAAAATCCTAACTTTAAGTAAAAGTAATCAGTATGCACATCTATAGTATTTACATACCAAAATTTCAATTTTTTATTTAAAATTTGAATAAAAAAATTTCTATTATTCTAATAAACATGCATAAATTAAATTGATCTCACAACAATACGTTGATATCAACATTAATTTGTTTGCCAAAAATTTGAAATCATAAACAAAACATTGATATCTCAATTATATTATATTTTTCCTTTTTTTTATTTGATAAACAAGATATCATTAAATTCAAAAGTTTGATTTGATTATTTCAAGTCATCCAAGCAGTAGATGACGTTGCAAAGCAAAATAGTGCATATTCAAATTTGACTCAATATTGTGTTATTATTTCACATTACTCTTACTTTTTTCCATGCAATAATAATCATATCAAGTTGCTCTTGATTTTTCTTTTTCTCTTTGCAAAACCCTTGTGCAATTGATGTTCCAGTTGAGGTAAAAATCACTCATATAAGAATAAGGTATGATATTATCAATAAATTTTATACCTCATCATCTCATTCTTCACAAAATCTATTCTACAAAGACATGTTTCACATGTCGGTTTGAACTATCTTATATTCACTATCATAAACTTGAAAATCTAGATTAGAAAATGTTTATCATAATGGAACTAAGTAGAGATTCTAGTATTGTTTATCTTCTTGTTCAAGAGATTTTTTCCATAACAAGACAAAATGTTGGATAAGGTAACTTTTGAGTTAAACATTGTATCAATAATGAAGACAGATTTGAATTAAAACATCTATATACCTAGGTAGTCACATTATACTTACAATAGCAAAGGTGTAATCGTCATCAAGCTATTCATTCCATCACTTAGTCTTGTGAAGCAAAAACATTTTTTTCTATAATGAAAGCTTTTGTAAAAATTCAATGATTTTCATATTTAGTTGAAATATATCTACGCAATTTGTGAAATGAGTAAATCGTGAAAAATGTTAACATGATAAGATGTCTTGATTCAATTGTGATCAAACTTATATGTTGTTATACTTTTTGTGAACTAGTGTTTCATTAACTTACACCACAAACAAGATTAACCTACATTGGAAATTTTGCAAGAAAATTAGTTTTTAAAAAATAAATCAATATTGATTAATATTTATAATTATATAATGTAAATTTCATTCTTAAATTTTCATTAAATATTTTATTTAAATTTTATTACACTTTGCACATTAAACAAAATATATACTTACAATTGTATTATGTTTTTATTTATTTGATCAAAATAAAAATTTAAATGTATCAAAAATCAACTTGGTAATCACAAAAACATGATGTTTCACTTTTGAAGATTGAACAAGAATACTTGGTATCAATAGATCAAAAATGTTCTATATATACCACATAAATGTTATTCGTGACCATACTTAATTTATTGTATTTGTAGAAAATTCAATTTTAATTGAAAGTAGTATAATAGTAGATTGAGCTTTTATTTGTTCAAGCTAAAAATTGTTAAAATCATAATGTATCTATATATTCATAATGATTTAGGTGAATTGTGCTAAAACAATTATATACTTATATACAAGTATGTATATTTAAAAAAATGTAACTGTTGTATAATTATAAATGAAGATGTTAAATTTTTTATCAAATTAATAATGAATTTAGACCAAGTTCATCGGACAAATAATTATATAATGCATTTCATTCAACTACCATTTTTGGAGTCAATTCAGAATTGAGACCAAATGCTACTTAATATTGTAAATTGCAATTTAAACAAATTAACATAGAATGCGACTTAAAATAGTTAATTTTGGGATAAACATTGTTATGTATACCTTGACATTGATAAATTTAAACTCAACTTGCATTTTTTGTTTCTTCTTGCTCATTATTGTCATTATGATTGTTGAAAATACTTATTGGGCAGCTATTCAAATTGTATGTTTTTTTTATCCGTATATATTGTTTAAAGAGTTTTTTGATTCCAAAAAATTGTTTTTATGAATGACTTGTTATTAAACTTTACATTTTAAAACTCTTTTTCAGAAGTGCTCGCATGCGTTTCAAGAGCTTTGTTCGACAAGAATATGTTCGTTTGTTTGATAGAAGACTTTCATTAGTATCTATTACCTATAGTGAATTATACTCAACCTAAAATAAGTATTGAAACATTAATGATGATGTGACGTAAAATTGTTAATAATTCTTTTATGAAAATTAAATTATGTTGAAAAATAATAAATGGTTTATTTTTTTGCATGGATTACATCATATGATTGTATCAATAATATAAAGCAACTGCTTTATCAAATTATTTACTATAAATGCATACGTTTTAATTATAATATTTTAAAATTTGAAATACATTTGAAATTTATAAATAAATAATTTGTATTTATAAAATCAATTGTTATATCAAATATAATAAAAAATTTTATTTAAAAATAATTTATTCGAATATGGCCATTTTTATATTATGACTGATTACAAACCATTTTTTATTTTGAAATTTTGTCATATAAAAAACTTGTAGTCACCTTATATAATTAAAAATATAAATTAGCTTTAAAATTTTAATTATAATTTAAAATTTATATATATTTCATATAAATTCAAATTACATAATATTAGTTTACATCAGAATTATAAAATTTTATTATTACAATCAATAATTTTATTGTTACAATCATTTCATATGTCATAAATTTAATTAAATTTATCAATAATCTTTCAAAAATAATAGTCAGATACATAGTTACATTTTCACATAGATTAGAATAAAAACCAAATATAGTGTCTTGGAAAAAATTGAAAACTAAAGGAAAGACAACTCAAATTAGTGAGTAGTATGATCAAAACTTTCCAGACGATTCAGAGATTGATGATGCATATATGATTGATTATGGAAAGATTTTGCAAGGAAATTATCAATCGGCTAACAACAACATACTTCATAATAACATGCAATATAGTTGTTGAAACAATACAAATATCAGAAGCGAGTAAGTCTGATCTCAAGATGGTGCAAGAGAGTAAAGAGAAATCAGTTTCAACAAGCAAGGAAATTTATTACAAAGGAAAATTGCAGATCAAGAAGTATGTTTTTATCTATGATAATTTAAGTTAAGGAGAGCTTAAATTTGAAAGTGAAAAACAATATTGATGTAATCAAGTCGGAGCAATACGGAAAAATATCAGAAAAAGAGGTCAAAGACTTCAAACTATAGTATGGTTTGAAAACATGTGAATAGAAGTGCATACTGTGCTGCTTGCTGAATACTTAGACATCTTTACTTGGAACAATAAAGATATCACATCTATGAATCCTAAGCTAAGTCAACTTATGATTGATTTAATGTTGGAAGAAAAACAATCAAACAAAGCCAACATCATATGGATACTAATTACTTTTTAAAAGTGAAGGAAGAAATCAAAAGGTTGCTTGAAGCTAGTTACATATATCCAATTTTTAATAATGAATGAATGTCTACTCTAACGATGATATTTATGAAATCTGATACAAATGAAATACTAAATATCAGATGCAGTCAGATTTCAGAAAATTAATTGATGACACTAGGAAGTAATATTAGTTTTTTTTGGTTTTGATTTGACTATTGATACAGTGGCTGGTCACAAGCTCTGTAATTTTATAGATGGTAAATTTGGAAATAATCAACTTTGATAAAAAAAGACTTAACAATTGAATAGTTCATTTACAACAAAATGAAAAGTGTTTGACTATCAACAAATGTCATTTAGATTATGCAATATCCAAGGTATGTTTCAAATATCAATGATGAATATTTTTCATGACTTTTGTAAAATTAATTGAAAGTTTTGATTAATGATTTTGTTGTGTTTGATATAAATACTGATCACATTGATTACTTGAAATAAACATTTCAACACTATAAGAAAATTGATCTAAAGTTATACCAAGTCAAATGCAATTTTGCTGTGAAAGATTAAATTCTTCTAGGTCATAAAATATCCAAAAGAAT